AGGATGTTTAGACATGTCAGGGGTCCGTACATAATTTGGCCCTCGAAAGGCCCTCAAGAAAGAGAAATGGAAGGTGCAGTGCTATGCATGCCGCAGTATTATGCATGCCCACTATCACGACTCCATTGTCGTACCGCTCATCTACCACGCAGCGCATCTACAGCGTCTTCCACACAGGCAGGCTCTGCAGCTGCTTCACCGAGTCGACGATGCTCTTCTCGAGCCCGATCCACTGGATGCCCAGAACCTCGTTCGTCGCCGCGTTGTCGTAGCCGTACACCTTGTCCTTGGGCGGGAACTCGCCGCCCTCGACGTCGGGGCCGGGCAGCCTGTCGGCGAGCTCGGGGAAGTTCTCCCGCACGACCGTCGCGATCTCGCGGTTGGAGAACCAGCCGGCCGTCGTGAAGAGGCGGCGGCCGGCGGCGGCGGGGGTCTCGAGCGCGCGCAGGTGGGCGGCGGCGCAGTCGCGGACGTCGACCCACAGCACGGCGGCGCCCGTGTCGGCGACGCGGGTCTTCCAGTCCCCGCGCAGCAGCTGGACGAGGCGCTCGTTGGACGTGTTGATGGCGTCGAGGCTCGCGAGGTGGGCGCCGACGGGGCCGAGGACGAGCGGCGGGCAGATGGTGACGAGGTCAAAGGCGGGCGCGGCGGCGGCGACAAAGTCCCAGGCCGCGCGCTCGGCGAGCTTCTTGGAGGCGCGGTAGGCGGTCGCTTTCGACTGCGTTATGTCGGCTTCGGTGACGGGGTTCCAGTCGCGCTCGGTGAAGATCTTGGTCGGGTCCGTGACGCGGGCCTCGTCGATGATGGAGGCGAACGAGGACGTGATGACGACGCGCTTGACGCCGGGGGCCGAGCGGTGGAGGGCTTGGAGGATGGCCGTCGTGCCGATGACGGCCGGGTCGACGAGGTCCTTCTTCGGGTCGGCTGTTGCCGCGTCAGCAGAGGGCGCGTGTCCAGAGGAAAGAGAGAGAAAGCAGCAGAGGGGCTCCCGAGGAGGAGGAGGAGGAGGAGGGCAGACGGACTAAAGTTAAAGTGGAATGGCGACGCCGTGTGCAGCACAGCCTCGAGCCCCGGCGTCTTGACGACCTCGTCAAACGCATCCTCGCGGGCAATGTCCGGCACAATGGCGACCGTCAGGCGTCCCGCGGCCAGGTCCTTGTGGTCGTCGCGGATCTTCTGCGCCTTGTCCTCGGAGCGCACCGTCACGACAGCATCATGACCTTGCTCGATGAGCTGCTCGAGGACGTGGCCGCCGATGAAGCCGGAGCCGCCTGGGAGTCTCGTCAGTGGTGGTTGGTCTGGCAAGGTTGCCTGGGGGTCTTAAGGGGAGCTGTCGAACCTGTGAGGAGGACCTTGACCATGGTGAGGTGATGAGACGATGGGTGATGGATGGGTGATGGCAGTGGTGTGGCAACAACTAGGTGACTCGGTTCGCAGCTGGGTGGTCTATCAGCTGGGTATGGCTGGTCAGTGAGGTAGAGTTGAATCTGGAAGCAAGTCTGTCGTCGTTCATCACGAAAGCCCCAATACACATGCCGTGCTTTCCAAACACCACCAGCTACCCCGCCTACGTGGTACATCATACGCCATCGACGTTGGGAAGAGAGGGGCATGATCCCTGAAAGCAAGAGCACGAATTAGCCTGCTACCCTGCGAAACGTCCGTGGCAGAAAGCAAAGTGTCCAATTACAGCCATCAGGCAAGGCCCACACGTATACTAAGTCACCTAGGTAGGTATACAGATAGATCCACTGAGATACGGTGGCTACAGGGCGATTACAGGGTTGTTAGCGCGAGAGGCACTGTACCCTCACATGACCTCATTGGAGACCAAGTTCGACTTCGATCCGTCAGGGAACCGTGCAGGACGGCATCCAGCTTCGCCCATGTCCTGCTCTATGGAAATACCGACTGTTGGCTACTGAAGTGTCAAGAAACAAGTTGATTTCCACTACATCTGCTGATCAGGTTCCTGTACGCTGAACACGCTATCCGTGCCTTCTTACCAGGCACCTACATGCCTCCTTCCCAAGCACGACTCATGATGGAGAACCCGGTGGTGGTCTTTTTGAACACTTCCAGATTCGGGAAGCCAAATGGCCTACCTGCTGCCTGTCCAGTTGAATTGTGGCTCTCGATTCTAGGGACAGGTTGAGGCAAAGAGGCTATTTACGGAATCGAGGGCAACACTTTCAGGCGAGGGAGGGTTTCGGAACAGCAGAGGCAGGCTACCGACCGAGTCTCACGGTATTTGAGATATACAGAGACGACTGTTAGGCTGCATGTCGCAAGGCTACCTTGGTGTTCTCTATATCTCTTGCACACGGACACAGACCCAAATGCCCTACACGCTTCGCTGTCTTGAACACAGGCAGCGCGACCGCATTCGAGGTGAAAATGAGGACCGAAACCAGCAGAGGTCAACGGAACATGGCCTCTTCAAAATAATGCTGAAACCTGGACAGGTCCCGATACGGCTTGACCTTGCCTTCCACAACAAGCTCATCCAGGGTGGCCTTCCGGTACCCAGGCACATCATAAATGTCGCTGCCCAGCATGCTCGTCAACTCGCCCGTGCCCCACAGCTTCCGGTAGAACCAGGCCGGGGCGATGTAGGAGAGCTCAGACGGCGAGGCGAGGTGCGCGTTGAAGTCCGCCACGGCCTTTTCGACGGGTTGGTTGAAAATCACGGGCGCCTTGCCGTGCTTCTTCTCGAGCGCCGCCGCAATCTCTTCGCCTGTGGGGGCGAGCTCGACGAGACCGATGGCTCGGTTGCTGACGTCCGACACGGGGCCGGTGGTGAAGAGAGAGACGTATGCGGCGGCCACGTAGTCCGCCGTGCTACAGGCAAGACGTTGATCAGCCCATGTTCGCGAGAGGGACCCCTCAAGGACAGAAAGCTCGGGGCTGCCACTCACCACATGCCGGCCTTTTCCCTGGCCGCGTTGCCAGTGTAGAGAAGCCTATTTCCTTTGATGTCGATCCCCATGACGCTACAGGGTTCCCATCATGTCAGCGAGAACGTCAAGGACGCAAACGAAGCCCCCGTCGTGTGCTCACATGGACCCGAGGGTGAACTCGGCAAAATCTGCGATGAGGATGACCGTCAGAGGGATGCCCGCCTGTCTGGCGCGCTCCTGGACGTCCTCTTTCATCCTGAGGAGAGGAATCTTCATCCCTTCGGCGCCATAGCGAAGACCCAGGTCGGACGGCACGAACAGCTTGACCTTGGTCCGAGGGATAGCCTTCACAAAGCCAAACTCGTTGCTGACGCCCTTGTCCCCTACGAGAGAACTAGTGGCCTCTTAGCAAACGTTTCCCTCCCGTGAACGTCGGACTCTTTGCCACGTACATCACAACGTCAATGTCCTGCAGGGCCGCAGCCAGAGCATCCTCGTCGAGGGGATCCACCTCGATCGTACGTACACCTGCCGGGATGCTGGAACATTCTGAGCCGGGACGATACAAGACCGTGACGGGTGCGCCGGAGGCAATGAGCGCTGCGACGATCGTAGCACTGAACAGCCCGCGGTGACCGTGGACGGCAATTCGGTTGAAAGACATGATGGAGCGTAAAGTGATATGATGTGCAAGATACAGAGAGAAAGAGAGAGAGACTGGTTTGTCGTAGGAGCTGACTGGTAGAACGAGGCGATATCGAAGCGACCTGATCGTACGCCTACTTATACCAGAAGACCTCGCACGCAGACGCACGTGTTCGCCATTGTCAGCATTCAACGCAAGCTCGGCGATCTCTCGACGATGTGATGCTGACAGAATACCGCGGGACTTAATTGATTCCAGTGGATCGACGTTAGTTGTATGCGTTATTCCGTGGTGGGGATCTGTGTTGGGTTGCGACCCCTTTATGAGGGCTGCACGAGAGTTCACAATCTCCTCAGAGTCCTCCATCTTCACCCTGTCGTGACCTTTGGAAAGCTGACGCTGGTTCCTTGAGATTCAGCAGGCTGAAGCCCCAGTCAACGAGAAATTTAATGGTGTCTTTAGATTCTCCCGGTTTGGGTTGTACGATGGTGATTCCTGGTTTCAAAACTGAGGTTTCCTGGCAGGTCGGTGATTTCTGTGCTTTCTTTGCAGCCCACCTTGCCTCCATCCATACTTGGCACGGGCAGGGCCGTCTGCAAACAAACGACCTAACGCTGCGAGGAACGCACTGTTGAACCGGACCTGAAAGAGCTTTGTCAGGCCTGCTATGCATGCTATGCATTGAACCCTGGCAAGCACGGCTCACAGCCGAGTATACCACAACGATAGGCGAAAGATGCCGGGGCGGGTAGAACAAGAGCCGCGCGCGCCAGCCGTACATGCTGCCGGCACGTGTGTGCGTTGTTTGAATTCTCGATGCCGGGCTCATACCGCAATCGCCATCGCGGTGGGTAAGGGTAATACCTCGAGCAAGCAGCATTCGCCGTGCTGGACACTCGAATGCTGTTGACCCCTTGAGACAGATGAGCATGGCCGTAGCGCGGGCTCGCGTGCTGGGGGTCTGAGTCATTGGTGTCTGCGTCAGGCTTGCCCATGCCCTGAAGTCATGAAGTTCTGAGCCCCTCCTTACCCTACTTCGGTTCGTGTCCTGCGTGTGTCCTCTCGTGCCATCATCGCAGACGTCATGCCGGCAAGGGTCGCTATCGAGTGCGCTGGTATTCGGCGACCCCTCAGGGTGAAGTACTGTACCCCCTAACCACCAAAAGCCGAAGAGCCATCATCCACGTTCGTTGCGCTCGGGTACTATGCCATCACAGTCAATATATACTGTAGTTAGAAGGCACCATAGGCAGAAGGCGAAAGAATGGGTGAAACCGCCTTGGCTCAATGCTTGGGTACGAGTACAAACGAAAAAATATAGGAACACAAATACACTCGGCCGACTTGTCATGTGCCGACCAGAGCCCTCGCTATCTCCTCCCACGTCTTCCACAAAGACTCCAAGTTGAGATGTCCTCGCTGTCAGCCTGGCTTGGCGAAGAAAGCTCTACGGCTGCGACGGCATGTTAGACGAATGGAGTTGACCGAGCTGCCCGCCGAATAACGCCCATGTCGAACGCTTTCCCGACTTTTGCTTCTACATCCAGACCTGAGGATAACCAAACCCCGCTCTATGCTTGAGATTCGGTCCGGGTCCGAGCCCGCGTCTTGCCCTTTCTCCTTTTCTGCCGGGCTCTTACGGTTGTGCCACCAGACACACAAAAAAAACGAGGCATCACACTTCACGCTCATGCTGTCGGTGGCGGCGCCGGCGGCGCCGGCCCCGAGGGACCCTCTTCAGGCCCCAGTGCTGGTGGCGCCACGAGAGGGTCGCTCGCCGGGACGACCATCGGGCCCTTGGGCGAGGGCGTACGGTCCGTCAGCTTGTCGCCGCGGATGACCTTCTCGACCTCCTTGAGGTCGAGCGTCTCGTACTCGACAAGTGCCTTGGCCAGGAGATCCAGTTCCTTGCGCTTCGACGTCAGGAGCGCACGTACATTCTCCTGGCCCTCCGAGATGAAGCGCTGCACCTCCTGCTCGATGAGTGCACGTGTCTCCGAACTCAACTCGCGGTACCGGCCGTTGTACTCGACAGAGCCGAGTTTGTCTGACATGCCGTACTTGGCCACCATCTGGAAGGCAATATTGGTTGCGTTTTGCAGGTCCTATCCCCTCTTGTTAGCGCTGTCTGCATGCGTATGTGTGCCGCCACAACCCCTTTTGCTTCCCGGGCTCACGTACCGATGAGACGCCCGTCGTCACCTTGTCGCTGCCGTAGACAATCTCCTCGGCGAGCTTGCCGCCCAGCGACGTCTCGATGATGGCCTTGAGATCACTGTGCGTGTACGAGTACTTGTCCATCTCCGGCAGGTAGGCCGTGTGGCCGAGACTCTGGCCGCGCGGCAGAATGGTCACCTTGTACAGCTTGTTGGGGCCCTGGGCGTTGAAGTAGCCGACGAGGGCGTGGCCGGCCTCGTGGTACGCCGTCATCTCCTTCTCCTTCTCGCCAATGACCGTCTTGCGCTCGGCGCCCATGATGACCTTGTCCTTGGCCCACTCAAAGTCACGCATCGTGACGGCCGTCTCCTTGAGCCTGCTGGCGCGGACAGCGGCCTGGTTGACAATGTTCTCGAGCTCGGCACCGGACAGGCCCGAGGTGCTGGCGGCGATGGCCTCAAAGTTGATCTCGGGCGCGGCCTTGATCTTCTTGGCATGGTGCTTCAGAATGTCGATGCGACCGCGGACGTCGGGCAGCGAGACGGTGACGTGGCGATCGAAGCGGCCGGGTCGGGTCAGGGCCTTGTCGAGGGACCTCGGGGAAGTTGGTCGCGGCGATGATGATGACGCCACCTGTTCTGTTCGAAGCCGTCGAGCTCGGTCAGCAGCTGGTTGAGGGTCTGCTTGACGTAGGAGGCGTCCCTGGGCGTTGCGCTTGCCGCCAATGGCGTCGAGCTCGTCGATGAAGATGATGGCAGGCGACTTGCTCTTAGCCGAGGTGAAGAGATCGCGGACGCGCTTGGCACCGACGCCGACGTAGACCTCGTCAAACTCGCTGCCAGACATGTAGAAGAAGGGCACACCGGCCTCGCCGGCGACCGCACGCGCGAGGAGCGTCTTGCCCGTGCCGGGAGGGCCCACGAGGAGGATGCCCTTGGGCAGCTTGCCGCCGAGGGTGGAGAACTTGTCGGGGTTGCGCAGGAAATCGACGAGCTCCTGGAGCTCATCCTTGGCCTCGGTGGCGCCGTGAACGTCGGCAAACTTGGTCGTCTGGTTCTCGGCCCTGACCTCGCTATTGTTGGCCTTGTCGCCGGGCCGCTTGAACATGTTGAAGCCCTCGGCGATAAAGGTGACAGCGACCATGCTGAGGTAGGCGAAGAAGACGAACCAGAGGATGAATTTGGTCCAGCGGAAGAACATGCCGCCAAGAGACTCGTCGACGATGACATAGAGGGGGCCGTCACGCGTGCCGACGGCGGCACCGGTACCCGCACCAGCAGCAGCAGCACCACCGGCGGGCTGGCTGGCGACGGCCACATTGGAGCCCTGGGAACGGGCGGCGAGAGCCTGGCCCACAGCCTGCAGCTGCGCGTCGCTCAGACCGGTCCCGGGCGTGTTGGCGTGGGCTCCGTGTGCGCCGAGGGAGGCGACGCTGTGGGCTCCGATGGCCGACTGGTTCTGCAGGGCCAGGGCCTGATGGTAGGCGGCGTTTGTCGCATCATTGTTGGCGAAGCGTCCCGAGTTGTGGCGCTCGATGACGATGGCGGGCATGTTGGCCTTGAGGAGGAGCTGATAGAATGCATTCTGCGCGGTGGCGCTGCTGGGGTTCCGGTTGGCCGCCGCTTCCCTGGCGGCCAGGAGGTTTCGTGAGACGCCGTTGGTGCCGAAGGACCGGGTCTGGAGCAGGCCGAGGGCTCTCGTCGTGGGCCCCAGGGCTCTCGTCGTGGCATTCGGTGTCGTCGTGAGTTTGAGAAGGGATCGCATGAGGTCGGATGCGCGAGCGGGCGACGCAGCGCGAGGCTGGCGGCGCTCAGGGCGAAGACGGCCGTCGGCCGGATCGCCATGGTGAGAGCGAGGGAAGGCCAGGCGGAAGGCGGGTGTGTGTGTGTGGTCGGAGAAGCGGTCGGACAAATTTGTTCTTTTCCCGTGCTGTTGAAGTGCAGGATCCTCCTGTAGTATACTGTTACCGAAGTCGTGTTGATGCGGGCGGACGCATAAGTTCACCGGGGAGCCGGCATGGTGATTGTGCGGAAAGAGGCCACAATGTGGTTGAGTCAAAAGACCTGACGTGATGGCAAGTCGACGACGCATGGACGCCTTGCGCTAGCCTAGCGCCTTGTCTGTTCTGTGTTGGTGTTCAACATTTGGCAAGAAGGACCCGCTCCTGTGGTCGAGGGCCGATGTTGACCCGAGCGGCCCATTCGCTCTCCGTACCTCCCTACCAAGGTACTGTCTGATCTGACTGGCTGACTGGCTGTCTGTCTGTCTGTCTGTCTAACTGGCCACAATGGGTGACGGCGGGCGAATCGAAGCACCAGAATTACAGCCAATAACACACACCCACACCACTGTCGTCCCAACGTCGCCTCCCGCCTCCCGCCTCCCGCCTCCCACGCCGCATGCATCCAAGAGTGAACTCGAAGCGCCGTGCCTGCCGCCTCTGCTAATGAGAGCGAGCCGGGCGAGAGATTGGATATTCTGACACGTCTACGCGCCGAGCGAGACCCCATCGTCACTCACATAAACCCTCACAGCCCTGCTCATCCGCCCCGCGCGTTCCTCTTTCCACCGTGATTGCCTCCTGTCATTTACCTACCCATCAATCTCTCCATCAGGCCGCACCTGCCTCGCCTCCGTTCACCAGCACCCAACATGTGAAAGAACCGGCAGCCGTGGTGCTGGTGAAGGGGGGCGAGGCAGGTGCAGCCTGATGGACCCACGGTATCACCCACACGATGACACCCTCTTCTTGCCACTTTCACAAACACCCGCCAATACACCCGAGATAGCCTCATGTCCCGTCACCTTACGACAGCCCTACAAATACATGCTCACCAGCATCCCTCCCCCTCTCACCAACGCAACTCCTCCCTCGCGCAGGTCCTCGCTCCTCTCGCCCAGGCACTACCAACCTGCATCGGCTCGCCGTCCTGCCGAACCATCTTCAATCGACCAGAGGGCGTCGCCAACAGGAAACCTCCCCTCTCACGCGCTGCCCGTCATTTCGTCCGCCGCCCCCCCTGCATCTGCACGTTCGCCTGCCGGCAAAGACAACCTGCCTCGCGAGGCTACCATGGCCGCGTGCGAGGGTCCGCGTTTTTATATCTACCTACCTAGGTAGGCACCTCTGCTACCTTCCTTGCATCGCCATCGCTGCTGCACAGCAAACGGAAGTCGCAGGCCCTCACGACCTGTCCCAATGACAACAGCCTCATATACAGAGGCACGACGGCGGCGCAAGCGATTTGGACTCGCGGGTCACTCTCTGCTGCCTCTCTTTGATATTCATTTCTTTTGACTTGATTTGTTTGCTTTCCATTGAACACGTATAGATCCCAGGTCCCCTCGATCGGTCGCGCAGCTACTAGACTTCTCGCCCACCTCTCCCTCGCGGGAGGGATCACTACAAGTACAGATTGGCATGCCGCTGTCACCAACGCATGTCCTTTTCTCCCCGCTGCCGCCTTCTGCCCGTATTAACAATGCACCCTCCACCTCTTTCCAGTCGTTCGTAATGGGGCCGTCAAATCTCCGCACGTCATGAGGGAAAAGGGGGGAGGGGAGAGGAGCGAGGAATCACCCGATTCAGCCGCTCCGCTAAGCCTCCCCAAGTCTCCTGCGCTCTTGCGAGCATGCTTCCGTTGAGTCTCGTTGCATCGTGGGCATCCCGTTCGCTTCCTCTTCGCACTTCTCCTCGAATTCGACAACAGTAACAACAGCTCAGCCATTAAGAGAGAGGCAGCACACCAGCTCGCCCCATCAAATCATGTACACGATAAAAGAAAGGGGAAACATACAAATATGGCCCGAATCCTCAAGGATATCCAAACAGAAAAATTTCAGCGCAAAAAAAAAAATCAGATGGTCCGCCCACCGTGTTTCCCAAGAGCAGATGCGGTATTAGAGGTATCGATGGACAAAAGGGAAATGAAAAAGGAAAGAGAGATCATAGGAAACGGGGGGCGCCGAGTGAGCCTCGCGGCTTTCGATCACTCCAAGGAAGGAAAGGGGAGGGAGGACGGCGGACGCGTGTCCCCTACTCTCCTCACCTCGTCTTTTGCCTCAAAGCAAAAATGGGACGACGCCAGCACGAGATGCAGACTGGTCAATGTCGACCACTTCGTGTCTTTTTTCTTCTTCTCTCACAAACTGCCCGGGGAAAAAAAAAAGGTCAATCAAAAACATAGGCCGTCATGGCCACGGCTGTGCGACGGCCGCTCTGGTCTGTCGACAACTCGGTCCTGTGGAACCCGTGTGGTATCTCCCTTTTCAGGTATACAGCGCCTGCAACTGGAGAAATTCAAAGAAAGAGAAAGGAGACAAAGCAGGAGAGCGTAACGGCGTGTAGTTATTGGTACACATCAAGACCATTGGTGTGAGAGGGCGGAATGACCTGCGAGGAAAGGCAAGATGTTGAGCGTCGCTCTATGGGGCGATGCTGGTAGGGAGGGTCGTGCAGGTATTTGCTCGTTTGTTTTCTTTTTGTCGTTGTCTTGTTTGTTTCCATTTTGCTTCGTCAACCTTGGGTGTTCTTCACATGTTTTCGATGCGGGCACTGGGCAGCTGCATCGACGGGTCCTCGAACTCGATCTTGGGGCCCCAGAGATCATAGGTGCCAGAGCCAAAGGTGGGCAGCGAGCCAATGGTGGCGACCTCGACCGGCGCTTGATAGGCCGCACCATTCCAGTAGTCCTCGGCCACGGCCTGGGGCTGAGGCGACGGTGAGGGGTAGTGCTGGGACATCTGCTGGACCTGCTGCTGCACGGGTTGAGGCGCCTGGGCTTGAGGGGCAGGTACCTGTGTCGATACCTGTTGGGCATAGGGAACCATCTGCGGCTGGGGCTGGTGTTGCGGGGCATGCTGTTGTGCGTGCTCGACGGGTGATGCGGCGTGGAGGGCGTAAGTCGCCGTCTGCGTGGGCTGATGCGTGTAGAAGCCTTCCTGAGCCGACGGGCTCCGGCCAGAACCAGCCGAGAAGTTGCTCGGGCTGCTCTGCATGGCCTGGTGAGGTGCCGAGTAAGGGATCTCGATGGGCAGCCTCTCCACCGGTTGCCGGGGCACTTGGTACTGTGCGGGCATGGGGTTCGTGTTCATCGTCGCCACGCCAGGATTGCTCTGCTCCGTCACATAGTACGAGTGCTGCGGCATGCTCGCCGTCCTGTGCAGCATGTGCGCACCAGGGTGCTGCTGAGGGGTCTGCTCCTCGACGGGCATGCTGTGAAAGACCTGGGCGTTGTTGGACGACAGGCTATGGCGGTGGCCGTACTGGTGCTGCTGCGGCGGCTGCAGCTGTTGGTGCTGGTGCGTAGGCTGCGGAGCTTGCTGCGGCATGGGGTAGCTCATCTGTTGGCCAAAGTCGGCAAAGGACGCTCCTCGGGCATGGCGTGCCTCTGATGCATGGCGGAGTGGTTCACAGGCATGGCAGCCCAGCGCATGGCCGAGTCTCGGGGAGTGGAAGGGGACTCGCCGCTCTCCGAGTCGGAGGTGCAGTCATCGAGCAGTTCGTTCGAGTGCATCCCACGCTGGTGGGAACGCCTCTGGTGTTTGACCATGGTCGTCTTGCGGCAAAAGCTATCCAAGTGGTCAGCACCTCATGCTACGCTTGGTTCGTTGTGACCTGACAAGCGTGCCATACCTCTTGAGACAGCCGTCGTGGGCGCACTTGTACGGGCGTTTACCCGTGTGGATTCGTCGATGCCTCGCCAGACTCGAAGACTGGTATATGTCAGTTGCGGGCCACTTGGAGAAGGAGAGGAGGGCCACTCACGTCGGAGAACCTCTTGCCGCATCCAATGTGTTGGCATTGGTGAGGCTTCTCCCCCGTGTGGGTGCGGATGTGGACGGTCAGGGCGCTTCGCTGGATGAAGGACTTGCCGCAGCCGGGTGTCGCACACGAGTACGGGCGCTCGTTGGTGTGAATGCGGTAGTGTCGTTGCAAGTCAGACTTGCGGTTGAAGCTCTGCCGAGTCAACATGTCAGTGGCAAAGTCCTCAACGGAACGTCGCGGACCTAGCGGCCGAGAGCGTCCGAGCAGGCAAGCATACCTTGTTGCATGACTGCCAGTCGCACTGGAAAGGGCGAGCGGTAGGCTCGTTCTCGACAAGCTCCATGAGTTCCATTTCTTCACGTTTCGTGCTGTGAGATCAGGAATATGTTGTGAATATGGTGGTAGAGGCGGAGAGCAAGTGCGTCCTGGTGTGTGAAAGTGAGGAGCAAGGATGAACGCGGCGGGTTCTCGGGAGGTCAAGCGGAAGGGTTGCCTGTCCTGACAGTGGTATCCCTGGCTCGTATGGGTATGTGCGCGGCAGAAGTTCAATGCGGTCAATGCAGACTGGGGGGTCGCAGCTCGTTGGCGAAACAATGTCGTCGACGACAGGAAGGAGCCGGAAGTGGGATCAAAGATGAGAATGCGGCGTCCAGCGCAGTAATTGGCGGAAACGCGATTATCTGACGAGGCGTGCAGACAGCGACGTGGGCAGAGAAGAGGACGGGCGAGATATGATCGGTCGGTGGAAGGTGATGGGGAGGATGAGAATGGGACGATGGGTCAAGCAAGGCTCACCACCTCTATTAGTGTAGGGGGAGGGAAGTAGAGTCAAGAGACAAGAAAGATTGAAGAGGTATGCTGGAACAGATCAGTCAAAGAGATCATGAACGTTCGAGCTGATCGGGTCAGGGCAGAGGCAGGTCAGGTTCATAGCGGGTGGGAAGGGTCCTCTTTAAGACAAGGTCAGATGTGTGTGTGAACGTACCGGAGGTGAGAGGGTCCGTGGCACTCAGGTACGTGACTGACAAAAACTCCGGTCTGCGAGGATCAGCCACACAGGTAGCTGCTGGATGCGTCGCGAGTGGTCAAGCGGCCAAACTGGTGGACGGTGGGACTTTTGGGCTGATGTTTACAGAACAGGGCAAGACTACCTCCTCCTGTGTGCAGCAGACGGCAAGATGGCGAAGCGGCGGGCGGGGGATGGACCAAGGTTGTCCCTTGCCTGCCGTGTCTTTGTTTCGAGGTCTGAGTGTCGAGGACCGGCGTGTGTTAGGTTCCGGGGACTGCAGATGCAGACAATGGGCGGCCACGCGGGAACGGCAAGGCGATCGACGAAGTCCAGTGCGCTCAGGCACGGGGGCGAACTAGGCTGACGGATCTCGACGATTGGCGTCTCTCAGGGTCTGAGGTCCGAGGGATGAAGTCGTCTCTGCTTTTTTGGGGCCGTCTTCCTAGCTTCTTTACCTCTTTTCGTCCGTCTCGTGCGAGGTGCACGGAGCTTCACAAGGCCCACGACAAGATGTCCACCGACAAGCTAGGCTTCAACAGAACGAATCGTGAGGTTCACCTGAGTGGGGGTGGAGTTCAAGCCGGAATCTCCTGGCTGCTCGTGTCGTGATGGCGCTTGTCCTTGGTCGGGCTACGGACGTGCTCGTGGTCTGCGTCTAGAGGTTTGACAATGAGTCGTTGATCCGATGTTGGCCAAACAGGAGAACGAGATGAGAGGAACGGAAGGTCGAGGCTGAGGGAGGCGGGCTTTTGTAGAACAGAAAGAAGGGAGAAGAGGCCCACGACAAGACTGCCTTGGGTCGGTGAGGGAAGTGAGGCGCTGGACGAAGGTATATATCACCACTGGCAGTATAGGACCCAGGTGTTTCTTTCTCCTAGGGGGGTGGTCCTGGCATTAGAGGGCAAGTGGAAAGGACCATGGGACAGGGTGTGAAGGGACCAGATCGTACCTTGTGTACATGTACCTGTACGTGTACCTGGAATACTGGAGAAGACCGTAAACCAGATTGGGCTTTTCTTATTTTCGTTGGTCAACAAGGGCCAAGTCCCGAGTCGAGTGGCTACCAGGCGTGAGAACAGTCAAAACGCTCGAGCGCTGGCAGACTAAGGGGGGGGGTGAGGGTCTGGTGTGAAATTGACTCGAGCAGGTGGTGAGCAAGGGCCAGACGCCAGGCAAGACGGGTGGACGGAGCTGCGGGCGTGGCGATCTTCTCAACGGGGGTGTGAGCCTCTGTGCGTCAGGTTGCCGGGTGTTCGAAGAGGATTAGCCCCGACGATAAAAATACTACGCAAAGTGTTTTGCCAACGCGATGGGGCGTCGATGTCCACGTTTGGAGGGGTTATGTGCTGGTGGATGTTGCTGCAAGCGCACAAGCACTCATCACAGTCGACGTCGTGGGGGGATGGATGACTAGAGCAGAGGAAAAAGGACGGATGATGTGCGATGTACGCTTCGTCTCCCTGCGAGGCACATCTCGAATCTTGGTCTGGTATGTGATGTTG